CTCCACCCCCCAACAACCTGTTGCCATGAGTTACCATCACTTCCTGTCAATCACTGAGAGGGAAACAATGCTGCAATTGGTGTGCTGACGGACAGCGTCGTCATGACAACACAAAGACCTGCTGATGGCTCAATGCGGGGCGAGACCGAGATCTGGTCCCCAGCAGGTCCAGACCCGGCTGCCTTTATGGGTCTGTGTTGAGATTTAAGAGGATCATCGGCTTCTTTCAGCTGCTGCTAATGAGACTAATTAGACCAAACAAAACTGACAGAGAGTCTGACCTGCTTTTATTTTCTGATTTTATTTTCTGATATTATTTCATGATTGTTTTATTTTCTGATTTTTTAAATTGCTGATTCTATTCCAATTCTCGTTCACAAACATGACCTTGTATGGATGGATGACGGTTGGATGAGGCATGGATGGATGGATGTTGGATGGATGGATGGATGGTGGTTGGTAGACAACATAGTGTCCAGCAGGTAAAATTACAAACACTGTTTAATAGTTTAAAAAGAAAACGGAGGACTGAGACAGAGACAAGCAGACTAGAGGAGCAGGACTCACTGTAGATACAAGTGAAAATAAGGAGTTTTTATGTCCTGAGATTAGAGAGTGAATGTAGCTGAGACCATTACAGACAGATGTGTATGACCTGGTGGGGAACATGGAAGACAAAACTTAAACATAACAAAATAGTTAAAACTGGTGAATAACTAACCAAACAAAATAATGATGGGCTGAATACAAATGCACTGCACACTTTTCACATTTTTATTTGAAGTAAAAAGTAAACAATGTGTGATTTTTATTTCACTTCACTTATGCACTAGCCTGGTTAAAACCAGACCCTGTCCTTCACTTTGCTTCGTACAAGGGTCTGGACTTGATGCATAGAGAATTGATTCATGCAGGAGGCGTGGCCTCTGCTGAAGCATGTGTGTGTTGTCGCTGTGACGGAGGCTAAGCTAAGAAGCTAACTGGAAATAGCGTGTGCTGTAAACAACCCTACTGAGGAGAAATATACCGAGCTGAATGAGACGACTGTAAATGAGAGCTGCTGCTTTGTCAGACAAATTTATTTTAATTTGGAAACCTTATCAACACAGACTGGCTTCATTCACTTCCTCCACTGCTGTATGCTAAAATAAGTTGCAGACACTGTGCAGAACATCGACGTTCTGTTCTCTGATTGGCCCGGCTAAAAATCTGCCAGTGAAATCCTTGTCTATGGGAGAAGTCCCAGACGGAGAAGGGAAACTAGAATTGAGCGGAGCTGCGTAGGAAGGCAAGGGCCAGGCTAGTTATGCACTAAATTGTGTTCAAAATAAGAATCAAGATGTTATTGTAAATAAACTTTTATTGAAGCACTTATGGGTGTTCTCAATAGATCATTGATCAACTTCTCTCTTCAGTTGGCTTCATTTACATGAGTCAAAAACCAGTCAAGAAGTTTAATTGTCCATAAAGCATCACAGTCAGTTCCTTAATGTTATATTCTGTATTTTATTGACCTTACATTGATCAGTTACAGACTCATTTAAAGCATTTATTTTGAAAGGATTTCACCCAACTCTTGGAAAGACTTGATTTACTGATGCTTTAAGTATCAGTTGGAGGGAATATTTGGACACGTTTTACTAGGGAGTCACTAAAAAAAACGTATTAAAGGACAGAAACAAGAAGCCAATGAGGTGGCACAAATTACAAAACTCAAGCACTGGTGAGCACAGGTAACAAGGGTAACAAGGGGACAGGCTGCCATCTAGCAGGAGCTTTGGACAATGCAGCACTTAGTGTGTGAGCTGAGGAGATGGAGCAGCTGTGTTGACTGAGGGAGAGAAACTGAAGAAGACCAACAGTGACAAGAAACAGGAAAACATGAAAAGTAAATAAACTCAACCGTAACACATAACCAAAACACACAGACTATGATATTAAGGTTATTTAATATTAAACTAATGCTTTGAGGTTATTTTTAGAGGTAAATTGGTTTGGAAAATAATAAAGGAAAAACATTTTGGTTGAGGTCTAATCTTCAGCGGAAAGAAAATTAAAAATGTTTTCTTGTTACCACAAAGTAGAGAGAAAACAACTAATGAGTGTGAAAAGAGAGTCGAAACAAATCAAGTATAGTACGAGACATCTGTTTGTTATGTTTATGTTCAGCTTTAAGGTCATAATAGGATTTATGTAAGGAATCATCTAAATACACAAGGCCAATATGTTATTACAGAGCATACACAGCAGGTAAAATAAGTATTGAACACGTCACCATGTTTCTCAGTAAATATATTACTAGAGGTGCTAATGACATGAAATTTTCACCAGATGTTGGTAACAACCCAAGTGATCCATACATACAAAGAAATCAAACCATAAATGTCCAGAAATGAAGTTATTTGTAATAATGTGGAATGGCACAGGGAAAAAGTATTGAACACACTTACTGAAATTTATCTAATACTTTGTACAAAAGCCGTTGTTGTCAATGACAGCTTCAAGACGCCTCCTGTATGGAGAAACTAGTGGCATGCATTGCTCAGGTGTGATTTTGGCCCATTCTTCCACACAAACAGTCTTCAAATCTTGAAGKTTTCGTGGACCTCTTCTATGAACTCTGATCTTTAGTTCTTTCCATAGATTTTCTGTTGGATTCAGGTCAGGTGATTGGCTGGGCCATTCCAGCAGCTTTAGTTTCTTTCTCTGAAACCAACTGAGAGTTTCCTTGACTTTGTGTTTGGGCTCATTGTCTTGCTGAAATGTCCAGCCACGTTTCATGTTCATCATCCTGGTAGATGGAAGCAGATTTTTATCAAGAATGTCTCTGTACATTTTTCCACTCATCCTTCCTTCAATTATTTGAAGTTTGCCAGTACCATATGCTGAAAAACAGCCCCACACCATGATGTTCCCACCTCCAAACTTCACTGTTGGTATGGTGTTTTTGGGCTGATGTGCAGTGCCATTTGACCTCCAAACATGATGTGTATTCTGGCATCCAAACAGTTCAATGTTGGTCTCATCTGACCAGACTATATTCTCCCAGTATTACACAGGCTTGTTTAAATGTTGAGCAGCAAACTTTAAAGGAGCTTCAACATGCTGTTTCTTCAGCAGTGGAGTCTTGCGTGGTGAGCGTGCATACAGGCCATGGTGGTTCAGTGCATTACTTATTGTTTTCTTTGAAACAATCGTACCTGCTAATTCCAGGTCTTTCTGAAGCTCTCCACAAGTGGTCCTTGGCTCTTGGACAACTCTTCTGATCATTCTTTTCACTCCTCTGTCAGAAATCTTGTGAGGAGCACCTGGTCGTGGTCGGTTTATGGTGAAATGATGTTCTTTCCACTTCTGAATTATGGCCCCAACAGTGCTCACTGGAACCTTCAGAAGTTTAGACATTCTTCTGTAACCGATGCCATCATTATGCTTTGCAACAATAAGGTTGTGAAGGTCTTGAGAGAGCTCTTTACTTTTACCCATCATCAGATGGTTCTTGTGTGATACCTGGCCATCATTTGGGACTGAACCAGCTGATATTAACTTGCACTGACAAGGGGCAGGCTTGTTTTCTAATTACTGAGAGAGTTCAGCTGGTGTCTTGGCTTTCCATGCCTTTTTACACCTCCCTTTGTTCATGTGTTCAATACTTTTTCCCTGTGCCATTCCACATTATTACAAATAACTTCATTTCTGGACATTTATGGTTTGATTTCTTTGTATGTATGGATCACTTGGGTTGTTACCAACATCTGGTGAAAATTTCATGTCATTAGCACCTCTAGTAATATATTTACTGAGAAAAATGGTGACGTGTTCGATACTTATTTTACCTGCTGTAAGTGTAAGCTGTTTTTGGTCTTCATTTCACAGATGTTCAGATGTTCTAATCCGTCCCTGCAGTGTAAGCTGGTTATTGTCTGAGATCTCTGACTCTGTCTTTATCCTTTCAGTCTGTGACCCTGTCCTCGGTGATCATGGATCTATGGTGAGATTTATTATAGCTGCAACCATTTACTGAATGTTTGGATTTTAACCAGGCTTGAACGTGTCCCTGTCCATAATCTGCTAGATTAAAGCGGTCTTATTGTGTAAACGCTGATTCAGCGTTGACACCATGGTTTTCCTGTTTATTGTGTTGTACATGTTCTGCAGGTGAACTCATTCTGCAGACTTGGTGCTGTTTTATCCATCCATACATCAAACCTGCAGCTCATTCAGGACACGACAGCTCTAACTTTAAAATATCACATTTTATTGATAAAAAGTTTCACGCAACAAGATGTTTAACAATATTGTTCAGTTTTTATTTTTAGTTTCAGCATACAAGCTGTGTTTTTGTCCTTTTTTACTACTTCTTGTTTAGCTTTAAGCCAGATTTCTGCTTCTTTTAGCTTAGCTTTCTTTTTTTTATCCTCTGGCTGTTGATCTGCTACTTTCAGATTTTAACTTGCCTTTTTTAGCTTCTAGCTAGCATTTTGATTCTTTTAGCTTATAGCTAGCCTGTTGCTTTTTTAGCTAGCCTTTTATTATTAAAGGGATCTATGATTAGTTGTGACATTAGCCTTTATTTTATAAACATTTATTTTAACTGTAAAATAAAGACTGTAAAAATACTGTAGGATGTTTAGTTTTTATCATTTTCAAACTAAAAGTTTGAAAATATATTTTAACACGGATAGGACCATTTTATTTCCACACAAAGCATTCTGGGTAAATGATGACGTGGATAGGTCCTCGGTGCGAGGCTGCTAGCGAGCTATATCCACCCTGAAGGTTAATCTTGGACAATATCTGATGATCGACTCTTTTAAATGAAACCAGAGAGCGTTGACAGAGAGGAGAAGGTAGAAATGACTCAGCCTGGAACTGAAAATATGGATGGAGGACAACAGAGCTGCTTCATGGAAGAAGAACCTCAGCTTAGCCTGTTAGCTTTAGCGTTAGCTCAGCGCTACACATTCTCCTCATCACTGAGGTCCTCCATCCACATGACAGAGAGGGGAACACAAAAATGACTCAGCCTGGAACTGAAAATATGGATGGAGGACAACAGAGCTGCTTCATGGAAGAAGAACCTCAGCTTAGCCTGTTAGCTTTAGCGTTAGCCCAGATGCTATCACCATATATATGTATTAGCTCAGCGCTACACATTCTCCTCTCGTCACTGAGGTCCTCCATCCACATGACAGAGAGGGGAACACAAAAATGACTCAGCCTGGAACTGAAAATATGGATGGAGGACCTCAGTTTAGCTTGTTTGTCGCACTAGCACCGAGCTAATACATATAAGGCTCTCTTCCTGCTCCAGATACCAGGAAGTGTTTATTTATAAATGACATAGCAAAGTAAAAAATAACTTCACGAGTTCGGAGATTGAAGTCCTGCTTATATGTTATGTTTATAATGTGAAGTTGTTTGTTTCACAGTACGTTCCTCAGAACCTTTACCCGGTCTACAAGAACAAGGTGGTTCCTGTCGCCGACATTATCACTCCTAACCAGTTCGAAGCTGAGTGAGTGCAAAATAACCTTTTTATTATGTTTGTATTACTCTTGTTGGTCTAACAAGCTGCTTCAGAATTATTACAAAGTTTTATCTCATTACTTTTCAACAAAAAATACCTAATTTATAAGTATTTTTCACACACATTTACTTTTAGTTTTTTTTTTGAATATTTTAATGCCTCTTTATAGTTAAAAATGAACAATGTTTTTTAGACTGAGCTTATCTGAATAAAATGTGTTTTCATAAATGAATCTGTGTGTCAGGACATATAAATTATCTGGGTCCTCATGCATAAAGGATCGCACAGCTTTCACACTAAAAGTTGACGTACAAAAAATTTTAGAAAAGTGCACCGCACCAAAATATTCAGATGTATGAAACCATTCATACACATGTTCCTGCGCACCTTTCCTTTATACATCCCAATGAACGTGGAACTGAGCACTTAGACTCCTCCCCTGACACGCCTCCATTTATATCTGTAAAATAGATGTAAATGTGTCCAGTGTGTGAGATTCTCCTCAGATTGTCCTCTCTGTGGGATAGGGTTGGGCATAATCGTATCGTGTGCAATTAATCGTCAGAAAAACATTAATTGATTACTTTTGGGCACTTGATGATTAATACGATTAATGCCAGCAGGCAGACTGACTGGGGATTACTCCGGTCAGTCCACTCGGTGCTCCTCTACACTTCAAATATGACGAACATTAAAAATAATGTTCTGTAATCTATTTATCTATCAACACAATTTAAAATATGATGTACAGCCTGAAGTCTGTAATTTTCACACAATTTGGAACAATTTTTTACAAAGAGCAAATATTTCCCACTAAACTGGTCATGTGACTACAAAATAAGGGTGTCCCGGGACTCCAGGGGATTAATCATCAAATTAATCGTTATCGGCTAAATACCACAATTAATCGTGATTAATTTTTTTTGCCAATATTGCTTAACCCTACTGTGGGATCAGAAATGATTTTTAGATGCAGGAAAATTATACATTAAATGGAGAATGAGTGAGAAAACTGTCTAAATAAGTAGTGGGGTGTCATTGTTTTATGTGGCGCATTCTCACAGGATAACCAAAGTCTGAGATTTTCCTGAAATGTACAGACATCTCCTGAATGTGATGTTGAAGGTTAGTTGGTCTATTTAGTTGATCACGGCATTGAAAAGACGTTTAAAAGAAATTAATAAATAATAAATTAAAAAAAACCAATAAACATCACGTTATCCACTTTTTCTGCTCTCCTTTCCTCCTGCGTTACAGCAGCGCTGTCATCGCCACGTACAGACCCCCACCCCACCCCCACGAGCGGGTACGAGTGGTAGCTTTCGGATTTTTAGCAAAAAATATATATTTGAGGCTCATTAGACGGTAAATGTTCAAAAGGGTTGACACATATGAACACCTTCCCAGCTGGTGAGGGTGCGCGCCTGGCACGAGAATCTACCCAAAGCACAGCTGCTGTGCTACAGCCACAACTCAACTCAGCATCAACCAAAAGTTTACACACAGAAAATATAATTATTCTTACCGTACTGTGGGCCACCATTTGCATCTGATTTTGCTCGCTCTCTTCAGCCTTTTTTGTGTAAATATATGCACACTTTCACGCAACGTTGGTTTTGATACATCACGACGTGGGCGTAGAACCTGGCACACGTAACTTTTTTATACGTACGCACCGTTTATACATGAGGGCCTTGGTGCTTATCATGTTCTATATTATTCTAATCAAAAACACAACAGATCCCAGCATGGGTCAGTGTTTAGTTGTGTCTCTAGTTCTTTCACACAGAACTCACAGTCAGACTTCAGCTGCTTTTAAACTATTAAATCTTTGTAGCAGATGTTTTGTTAGATGTTGTTGCTCTCCAGACAAACCCAGTTTGAAAATGTTTCTGGAAAACTGAACAGCCTTGTTGATGAACTCAGTAACATTTAAATCAAAGGTTGGAGCAGAGTTCCCTTTTTAGGCAATAAAATATTTAGTTGTGACTGGTTAGCTATAGACAAATATTACAGCAGTAATAAATGAAGGCTAATGACAGGTTTCAAAGTCATAAAAAGCAGCAAAAGGAATAAAATCCTACGTTCTATAAATACTTTTAAACTTGAAATATTCACTCCAAGTATCTCATTTAGGTCAAAACAGAAGCAGATCAACGAATAAATGTTGCAGCTCAAGCTGTTAATCTGTGGCTGTGCTTTTATTTTATCTGACACACTAACAGTGTGTTGTTTTTATCTCACTGTGATAGTCAGCACAAGTGACGTTAGACAAAACATCCCTGCTTTTACATCTGTAACCTGACAGATTATCACAGATTCAGGTAAACCTATTTTGCAAAGGGAACGTAAAAACAACTGTTAACTCCGGCTGCGTTCGGTGCATCGGTTGTTTTCGTTCTGGTTCAGAAACATCGAGGACGTGCAGCACGTTGTTGTCTTTTCTGTTTAGTTTTAAATTATTCGTTGTTTTTTTTTACAATTTCTGACGTTTTCTGAGCGTCTCTTCATCTTCTATATCTAAATATAAACATTAGCACACACACGTCAACAGTGTAACTGTTAGCGGGAGCGCTAATGTAGAGTTGTGTAACACAAATAATATTACAGCCGGACTGAAGTGCGCTGGTTATAACAGCATCTTTTTTTCACGAAGCCTCGAGGCAGATAATTTGCCTCGAGGCTTTTTAGTAATCATATTACTCGAGGAATCGTTTCAACCCTAGAATGTAATGACTTTAAACTAAATTCAATTTAAAAAACTGTGAAACAACAAAATGAAAAAAAAAGATCTTGATGGCAAAAGAGAGACATAAAAAGGGTCAACCAGAGTGAAAACAGTGTTTTAAATGTTTTCTTCTTTGTTTGTCTTTTAGATTACTGACAGGGAAAAACATCAGCACAGAGAAAGATGCAGTGGAGGTAACACTTCATCCTCTGCACTGATTGGGTGTTTATCCAGAAGGTCTTCAGACTTCAGTTGTGTTGTTGTGTCTGCAGGTGATGGACCTCCTCCATGCCATGGGTCCAGACACGGTGGTCATTACCTCCTCTGATCTGCCCCCCAGACTGGGAGACCGGTTCCTGGTGTCCCTGGGCAGCCAGCGTCATGGTAGGGGCTACATCCTGGATCAGAGGGTTTCTGACTCAGATTTAGGAGTTAGCATGTAGACAGACCAAAGGTAACAACTAGGACGTTTTATCTTTTCTCTACTGGTCAGTTCGTCCCGACGGCAGCAGGACGACAGAGAGAGTTCGAATAGAAGTACCTAAAGTGGACGCGGTCTTTGTAGGAACTGGAGATCTGTTCGCTGCCATGCTGCTGGCGTGGACACATCACTACCCTAACGACCTAAAGGTGCACAAACTGATGCATTGAAGACATCAGGTCAGAGAGCAGCTAATGACTTCCTCTGTGCTCCTCTGTTTTATCAGACAGCTTGTGAGAAGACGTTTTCAGTCATGCACCATGTTATCCAAAGGACCATATCTTATGCTCATGGTAAGATATTTATTACAATGTCTTAATCATCTTTTACAAAACAGCTCATCCAGTCATCTAATGCCTCAGTATTTATGAGAATTTCCACCAGTTCCACATCACAGTCTGTGTTTTTTCCTCCTGTCTCCTCAGAGTTAGCAGGTCCAGGTCGGAGGCCCAGTCCGCCCCAGCTGGAGCTGAGAATGGTTCAAAGTAAAGCTGACATAGAAGACCCTGCTATAGTAACGGAGGCCACGCTCATATCCTAACATTAACATGTCATAAGACTCATCCTAACCTTCACCCATAAACCTCTGCAACACCTCTTCACAAAGTCTCATGGCTGTAAACCTGTCTGTAACCTGCAGCGCCTCTTCTGACACATTCGTGTTGTAACCCCTCTTTCCTGTAGTTGACCTCTGAAAGTCCTTGGTGTCCTGACCCCTAGATCCAAACCCTGACCCTGTTTAGAACCAGAGCCTTGGATAGACTGAACACTTGGTCTGGAGGGACTTTTCTTTTCTTTTAAGCACTGATTATTTGATTCTAAAAGCACAAACCATATGAAAACCGACACAAGGTAACATTGTTCTGGTTTCACCTCTGCAGACATGTGGTACCGGGTTCTGACTGTGTTCAGACCCAACAGAGTCACTTAGAACTGATGCAGGATTTAATGTTTCCCTGCAACATAAAGACCCAGATCCTAAAAGGTCAATAAAAACAGAAAGCAATGATTTAAAAATCCCATAAACTCAGATTTGTTCACACAGAACACAGTAAACAGTGTTGACCAGATGTTTACACACACCTGTGTAAACATCTGGTCTCAACACTGTGTTGAGACCAGATGTTGAGACCAGATGTTTACACACACCTGTGGCTGTGGAGTTAGGGGGGTTGTCCTGTCCCGGGTGGGTTGCCTTTCCATTTGTCTCAGTCGTTGTGTCCTTGGACAAGACAGTTCGCTCGCCTTGCCTGCCGGTGGTGGTCAGAGGGTCCGGTGGCACCGGTGCATGGCAGCCCCACTAACGTCAGTGCACCCCAGAGCAGCTGTGGCTACAGTGTAGCTTAGCACCATCTGTGTGTGAATGGGTGAATGACTGTAAAGTGATTTGGAGTCTGTAGGGACTTGATGAAGTGCAATATGAGTTCAAGACAGTTACATATAAAATGACAGAAGCATTTTTTCTTGCTGTCTGACATTAAATCAGAACAAACCTTTCTGGTTTTCATAAACTCAGGCTTGTTTACATAAGACATAAATGTTGGTGTTTTTTCAGTGTTTATTGGTGCAAGTAAACAAAAAACAAACAAACAAACACCTGTTTACATGGAACCACTGCAGTAATGTGTCAGGCAGGGTCACCAGATGGGACATAGTGAACTGTTGTACTGTCCCTGATGATTGTATTCTGAGCCAAACTATCATGTGTTGAGTGCAGTGTTGGAAGATAAGGTGTGTGTTGTGTTTGGTAAAGATAGGCACAGAAAAGGGGGGGCAAAAAAAGTTTTGTTTTTATCTGGCAACCCTGAGATTGTATTTTCTTTGTTGTGAAAATGGACTGGAAAACCCTTTTATAGCACTCACTCACGCACTGATCATGCAGTGGTTGCATGGTCCCAGTTACATCTGAACTACCGTATTTATTCATGTATAAAACAATCTCATGTATAATACGACCCCCCCCCCCCTTTTTTTTTAGCTTAAAAAGCATAAAAAAATTTAATCCTCAAACTACCTCCAATTTCATACAGACTTCAAGATTTTTCATCCTTTGCAGTCTTTATACATATCAGTAAAATGATCATTGGACTGTTCATTTTATTTTAACAACATATGTACTAAAAGGTATTTTGACAACAAATATACTGTATATCAGCTGTAGCAGCATCATATGAATTCTGGCATTTTACATATAGTCCACCAGGAGGCGCCAACACAAAAGTCAGAGACTTCACATGAGATTTGGACCATCTTGTGGGGGAAAAGCAGATTACTTCCTACTCGTGAGCGCCCCCTCTGGTGGGGAAACTTTTCAGGGATACAAACTTTTTCAGAACACCGGTAGACGGCAGCCATTACAGACGAACATGTGTTTGTTGTTGTTCAAGGAGTGGCTCGGTCACATGCTAATGTCATTAGTTTGTTATCATTACTAAGGTGCAGGAATACTTTTTACCCCTTTTTTCACATCATGCCTCCTGCCTGGATCTGTTATTATCTCACTCTGCAGCACAGAGGAGTGTCAGAGGTGAGCTCGCTTCAACTGATTTTTATGACGTGGTCTCATTTCGGGACTCAGGCATTTTGTGAATGAAGCTGATATTTCAGTTAAAATACAGAAGTAAATATATTTATCCGAGTATAGTACTACCCCCCAACTTTATGGATGATTTTATGGTTTTAATTTTACTTGAATAAATACGGTAAATAAGCCAACAATCCTTCAGACCTAGAATGGTTTTTGGTTTTGCTCCTACAAGCTGCAAAGAGTAACACAAAAACACTCTGCTGTCAGTAATTTATTGTAAATGTTAATTAGAAGAAACTAATGCTATAGTCACCTGCACGCATTTCCACCTGTGGGGTACTTCTCACCCCTCCGCTGGGTGTTACCAAACAGCTTCACTCTGAGGTCTGCTTTCAAAAAGTGCCGGAGTCAGAAACTCTGATCACCAGTTACATTTAAATGAGCAGCTGGATCACAACAAAAATGTTATAGTTTCACTGAAAACCTGTTTCCTGTAAGCCAGGCCTTAGGATTCCCTACATTTTTTCAGTTTGCAGTCCTTTGAGCACGTGTCAAGCTGAAGGCATGCGGGCCAAATGTGGCCCACCACAGCTTTTATGTGACCCAAAGATGTATTATTGTTTTCAAATAAGTGTATTCTGCTTTAAAGCCAGCATTGACCATAAACCACATCTCCCATAATGCATGTGGACTGGTTTACCCACATGTTTTCATCCCACCACTAGGTGGAGCTGCACAGGTTTCAAAAGTAACCCCTAATTTACACTAGATGCAGTTCTGCTCTGCTCCGCAGAGGTCCGACCTCAGAGGTCATCGGCTCTGCAGGGTGCCGCTATCCGCCAAAATTAGATCCCATCCAATTTTTGTTGGAGCTGCTGCAGAGTTAATCTGCAGAGATCACATCGCACCAACAGGAATAGGAACAAGCACAACATCCATAATTTCAAAATAAAACACCAAAGGCGGAATAATTTTGTTGAAATCACAGCTATATTAATCAATATATGGATTTATTTACACACAAATGCTGTCAGAATGTATCGTTCTGTTTGGGGAGCAAACTTTATTTAAAAAAAAGTAAAGTTTTTAGTTTAAACGTGATGTTTAGGCCTACTGTGTTTCTTTGTGAATCCAGTGTGTGTTTATGAGGTTTGTAAATCATTGCATTCTGTTTTTATTTTACACAACATCTTAACTTCTTCAGAACTGAGGTTGTTTTTACGTAAACAAACAAAAATACTTGAATGGTTCCCAAGACTTCCCTCAGCTCCTCTGTTTGGACCTGAAGGATCAAGCTCAGTTTATCCTTGGCTCCGCCCACCACTAACGGACTCCTCCCTCGCTGTCTTACAGCAGTGATGTAATGGTGATCAAGCCCTGAAATAACCTAAAAACATAAATAAAAAAAGAACGCACAATGTATAGTTGATGTATAGATGTTGTACTATAGCTGTGTTGGACCATCTGTACGATACTGGACCTGTGTGTTGGACCACTGTGTTCATGCTTCTGTACTATAGACCACGTCACTCAGCACACATCTGGGCTGGTTGTGGCACAGCTGGAAACACTGGCTTCCGTCATTGTCAGTAACTGTCTAATAGTCGTAGTGTTTAGTCCTAATAAACATAAAGAAGAAACCGGGCCACGTGGGCCCAACAGGCTCCACAGTGCCAAAACCAACCCACAACAAGGCGGGAGGCTGCCGGCCCAGCTCAGACCCAGAACCTTACACCTGGAGGCTCTGTCACATCTGTGGACCAACTCTCTTTATAATTAACATTTGTCATCAGTTTTCTGTTTCACTGAACTGTTCTGGTAGGTGGGTTTTCTTCACGTTTGGGTCTCCTCACGCTCCACTGTGGGTTTCCTTCAAGCAGCAGAAGAAACCATCAGGAGGACTGGTGGTCCTGTGGACGGTTAAAGGGGCGACCCCTCACTGCTGCCTTCCACAGCAGACTTTAAACCAACCTGCTGTTGTGTTGTGAGCAGGTTGAACAGAGAATAACTCATGAGATGTCAGAGTGTGGGCTGTAAATGCTCCTCAGCTGCTACTGCACCAACCGTTAGCTCAGTCCCTGCTGGCTGACAGTCATTAGCTGTAGCAGGGGTTGGACTGACACCTACACAGTCTAATCTGCACAGTGGATCATGACTCATTCTAACACACAAACATCCGTTTTGCCTAAAACTTTAGCATTTAACCTGATTGTTAGCAAAATGTCTCATGGTCAGTTGGTCAACCTGATTCAAGCCACAACTGACTGACATGAGCTCAAATAAAATCAGCTCTAACTCAGTCAGTTGGACAGGTGTTGAGTTGGTGTGGTAGTAGCTGAGACTCCTAAATGATCTTAATTATCTCTGTCAAGGGCGAGGTAATGTTTTCAGTCGCGTATGTCTGTCTGTCTGTCTGTCTGTCTGTCTGTGGACAGCATTACTCAAAAACTTGTGGACAGATTGTCATGACATTTTTGCCACATGTGTGTACTGGGCCAAGGAACACACCTTTAAATTTTGGTGATGTTCCAGATCACGATGTGGATACAGGATTTTTTTTCTTTTAACACTCTGAGATCGGCAAAGCTGTGATGCTTTCACAGGGCTTCTGTAAAAAACAGTGAGCTGGATTGGACAGCACAGACTTCAAACTTTATAAAAGTTATGTTAAAACCAGATTTAATGATGAATAATTTTTACCATAATGTGCACATTTACAGAACGTTTTGTGACCAGGAAGTGTGTGACTGCTCCATGAAACCTATTTTTCCCATTTCCTCAAACACACCACATTTCTGAAACAACCAATCAAAACAGTTTGTCTCTACTAGGCTTGTAAACAGAGAGCTGCCGGGCCTCAAAGTTTGGAGACGGGGGGAGCCAGGAAGCACTTTATAAAGAGAGTCAAACCATTACAAACTCATACAAGGAGATAAAACAGACGTTTTACATGGTGAAATGTGACTGATGGAAACTTAGGAGCTTAATCCCACACCAGTTTGACCATGAATAACGTCAGGTGATGAGTTTGACTTTATTTTTCACATTGGACTCCACAGAGAAGAAATCCCGTGCATACTGCTGCTTAAATGTTCACTACGTCAGAACTTATTCAGCAAATGTGTTTCCATCTCTGCTTTTGCGCATTAACTCTTACAGGATGGAGGAATTGGTCTTGGTGGAGGTTTGCACTCTCCCAGTGCTTCCAGTTTAAAATGTTTTCATGCACGTCGGCTGATAGACGTTAATTGATGCGATGCAGATTTTATTCACAGTAAAGCTTAGATGTTCAAATAATTGGATTTCTAAGACATTCAGCAAGTAAAAAAAACTGAATGTGATGATAATAGTGCTGGTTTTATAAAATGTTTTTGTGACGTTTATTGCATTAAGTTGATTTTCTGAACAATGTGTTTTATTCCCACAGTAGAGTGTGATGACAACCAGGTGAAGAAATCCTGACAAATTGTGAATTATAGAAACAAACTTAATCTTGTTGCGGCTTTAAAGAAAACAGCCTGAGAGAAGCGGGCCTGAGCGGGCCTGAGCGGACCTGAGCGGGCGTTAGGTTCTGGGTTTGGTCTTGTTCTCTGTGCTGCTGTTGTTTCTGTATGAACCGTACTGTGAAACTGCCTTACAGGAAGATGATGAAACACTGCTGGTTGTGACGGAGGTGGAGGGGGGAAACACCAGTCCACTCAAACACAGCTGCTTTTTGACAACATGGTTATTTTTCATCTTTACTGGAAACAAACCTCTTCAGAAAGACGAAAAAGAAAAAAAAACATTTTTTTGGTACTTTTTCTGTGTTTTTGACTTGAAAACTTTAAAAAAGACTTGGTTAATACTCATTTCAACCAGCAGAGGGCAGTGTGCAACACTTTCATTCAATGGTTTAAAAAAACAAAATCATGTTAGGAAGAAATGTGCTGTGTGTAAAATATTTGTGTTTATTTTCTTTATCTCTTTAAAGTTATTTTAATAAACATGTTTGTCTGATGGAAACTAATAAGTTAAAAACTTCATGTTTATTCACAACTTTAGATAATAAATTATTTTCCCTGGACATCTACATGTTTTAAAAATAACATTTTGATTTCATGGTTTTAATTAATAATGTGTATAGAAAAAGAAACTGTAAGGAGATAATATCCTCAGAACCGTGTTAAGAAAATATTTTTTTCTCAAGTCATAAACACAAAAAAAGAATCTGTTTTCTCCTCTGGGCTTTATGGTTTTATTATTTTTCTTATTTATTTGGTTTAAATGATGAGAAACTTTTCAAAGTAATACAAACTAACAATAACACCCATTAAATTAAATTTTATTTAACTGTTTTCTACTGAAAGAGCATCAGGTGGTCCCTCACTGGTGGTCTCATTTCTATATTACCTGTTTTATGATGCACGGCTGTGTTCATCATGAGCATGA